CTCCCTTCTCACATACGGCCGCGAAAATGATGACACGTCCGAGGACAAGGTTTCTTGAAGTTCGATCAAGGCGTCCAAAATGTTAGCCAGTACGTTAGAGCTCATTGTGCTACAAATCAAACAATATGATTATATTTGTGTCATAAAAACTTTTTGAAGCAAGTTTCTAGCATGGTATTATTATTGCAGTATGATCGCCTCATGTCCTGTATACTCACCACTCAGTGAGATTGCGTTTAAGAATGAAACTGTACTGGTGATCATTTCGAGAATCAACAGCAATAAAGGTGGTAACACGAGTAACACTGGAAACATCGGCAACCCGAGTAACACGAGTAACACTGGAAACATCGGCAACACCGGCAACACGGGCAAAGTATGGCCAAAGCCATAGAAGTGGTCATTAGAGCAAGACAACACTTTTAACAAAACTCGAAACTTCGATACGCTACCCGCTACCCCGCGTCCCTACCCAGGATTTCCGTTGGGGGGAGGGGAGGGGGACAGAAAGATTTTTTAAATAAAACTCTCCGAAAAAATTTTTGGTTGTTTTTCAAGATTTTCGCAAGCCCATAACCTCCATATCTCAGGAGAAGGGTCAGCCATCCCCCACAAAAATCGTTTTATAAGGCTAAATTGAATTGTTAAAATTTTTCAAAGATTATCTCAAACATTTACAAGTATGAACAAGTTATTTGCACAAGTTTATAACTGATGCAAGTAACTTGCAAAAATTTCGCTCACTTTCGGAAGAAACTCGCCACCTTTCCCCCCCCCCCCCCTCGGTACGTCACTGCTACCCCATATTTGCATTGGGCGACAAACTAGCGTCACTGCATTTGAATTTGAGTAACATGAACGATGAAATACCGTAAGCACAATTAGCTGGCAAGGAATAATTATTATAAAATTAACACATAATTTTTTTTCAGGATATCTCTGATTTTGTTTTTCGAGCCGAGGTTCAGGTGGTGTAACAAAGCAATTCAAGGCGGCTTTTTCAATCCTCCAATGGTTGGAACTCTGTCGAAATTATCTTACACACCATTCAGCTTCTCGCGCATATACAGGCGATTCATAGCACGCAAAGACTGCGGACTTATCGGCATCTCACTATTCCAGTGCTCCTTCGTTTCTCTTACCATCTGCTGCCTCTCCCAGGCACGAACTATCTTTGCCGGACGCAACGGCGACCAGTCTTTGCATGTCATGAATCGTGTATACGTTCACATCAGAAATTCATATATACAGTTGCTGTCTTTCCTGTGATTGGAAACTGAGAATATAAGAAATTTTTATACTTTGAATTTAGGATATCTTATATATAAAGCTGAGTCTGTTTGCCTGCCTGTCTGTCTGTCTGTCTGTCCGTATGTCTTTACGTATGTTCCGAATAGAAAATTCCATTTCTGAACCGATCCGGACCAAACTTGGCACACGTACACTTCGGGCCCCGGCGGGTGTCATAGGCTACTTTTCGTCATCGATCGACATCGATTTTATCGATTTTTTGCAAAATTTGAGCTACGGGGCTGGGAGTTGGCACAGGGGGGTAATCGAGCATGCTGATTACGAATATAATAATGACGGGGCCGGGTAAGTCAACTAGTCAGTCATAAATTTCTCCTCTACAACGAGCGCTAGCTCTCGAAAACATCTGATTTAGCATCAAAAAAGAGAAAGTCCGTATTTCCAGTCTCTTTTTGTTCCATTTCCCTGTTTTCAGCAACGCAAAAATACAGAATTTATAAGTTTGATGTGTGGGGGCACATGCGTGGGTTGCTACGTTCGTAAGAATGATGAAGAAAATCAAATCAGAAATTTATTGAAAAATCCAGGTTTTTCTTCGCGTAAATCTATTCTCTGCATTGCTATATCCAGTTGCAGCAAGAGGAGCTGCCACATGCTCAGCTCATAGGTTGTCCGGAAATTAATGCAGGTTTTGATTTCCAACCGCATTAAATCGTATATTTCTCAACTTTGAATAGGTTACAAGGTACTGTCCGATAGAGCAAAGCAAGCTTTACAAAATGTCTATCTTGCTTTAAAAAGGGTAGAGTACAGAGTACCTAAATTATGAATGCGCACGTGCCAACAAAAACCAATATTTAAAAACCGAGAAATACTTGCAACGTCTAACTACACTATCAGCAGCGTAAACTTCAGCTTTGGAAAAAAGATCGCAATAGATTATGTATAAACAAAATGCGCAGACAAAAAGTGATGTTGTACGTTTGTCACAACGAACGGTTCCTATCTTTTTTGTCACATATATCGCCGTAGCAACTGAATATTATATCTTCCAACTCCGACTGTTCTTTAATCTTGGCATAGATGTAAACCGTAACTGATGAAGGCGATTGCGCCGAAACGTTGGCCGAAGTTATTAAAGAGAAGTTGCCATCTTGGTCGTGTTGCTCAACATCACACTATGGTGATATTATATCATCAATTTAATTTGATCTATTCTAAGCTTTTTGGAATTTAAGAATGTCAGATACCCTGCAATTTCCACAGAAGTATAGTGCGCGTTCTGGCCAGATTCCCATAGATGCCTTTGCGACGCAACCGCAAAGCCCATTTACACTGCCTTTAGGAAACTCTGGGAAGCATTTCTTTCAAAATGTTTTCGCTTTCAGAGTGTTCATTATTATCGCTTCTGTAAAGGCTTTGCATAAGAGGTGCGCACTCTATAAACGTAGTCAATAGAAATTTGCACTTGCGACTAATTATATTTGATGATTGTACTTGTTTTTGATGCAGAATAATCTTGTGAGTAGAAGCCCCAAATTTGTGTAGAACATTGTTTGAAAGTGATTCGTGGTGTGAACTTTGCACTCGCATGAACGCCATTACAATTTTCGGAAAACCGTTTATATAATAGCGAAAAATACTAAGGGAACGGCCATAGGTTGTTGAAGTTGCCGGTCGTTGTAGAACCCCACGATGGCCTCCACGTTTCGCGCGCTCGCTGTTTCTGACCTTGGCAAGCCGGGAACCTCGGCAACCTTAGCAACCGTTGCCGGCAACCTATGGCCGTTCTCTAAGCCAACACTGACCATGCACTGAGCGGTAGCATCTGAAACACTTCACCTGGACGAAAAAACAAAAAGGAGGGAGGAAAGAGCAAGAATTTCCCATACTCGCTATTCAATCGCCTTTCGTGCGTATGTTGTCAAGCAAGAGAAGATGATAACTCGCTTCATGATTTCGGCCAACGTTTTGGTGCTATCGACCTCAGCCTAGAAAGTGTTCTCTTCCCAGGTGTCAAGCTGAAGAAACTAGATAACTCCGTTGGAAGGAAAGACCCAAAGTCACGAATAACAAATATTCATCTTAGATGTTGGTGACGGGTACGAGAGACCACCAATTATGCAAAAACCATACCTTTGCTCTATGCATAGTGTTAAAGGGACTTGACCCGGCTCAAAATCCGCAGAGGATCCTGATATGGCACGAGCTTGTCATCGCAATTCACTCCTCTTTTCGGCCCATTTCTGGATTTTAGCGCCAACTAGAAGGCCTCCAAAGTTTTGCGGGCTAGAACCTTGGGTTTGGCATTTTCATGTAGCTGTAAGCATGACTTCCAAGTGGTGTACTGAATCTTGCGTTTAGTCCATTTAGGTATTCATTATGCGGCAGAACGGGCGTACAGTTTTGCCTATGTACGTGTCGCCAGATGATAAACATGTGATGATGTATCGTCGAGTCATTTGTAACTTAATATGCGTGGTGCACACTATACACGCTGACTGACGAAGTGCGAAACTAGAACCTGCTCATTTCCAGTAATTTCTCCTTGTTTCCTTGTTTCTTTTGTTTTAGTTGGTTACATGTTAGTCAGTAGAACACATTTCTACATTTTGTTGGGCTAGAAAATGTTTTACTTGGAAGTTACTAGTATGGGTGCCGTCGTTAATAGGGCTTAGTGTGCAATCTCACATATTAAGTTACAAATGACTCGAGGTTATATATCATCCTGCCACAATGCAGTCCCCTGCTTACCGGATGAAGAAATCATACATCTGGGGTTCAAGCGAGTTCAAAAACAAGCTTTTTCCGAGCAATTGCCTCACTGGGTTGGGCGGCGTCGGAATGTTACCATCTTGGCCTTTTGCTCAACAACACACACGCGATACATATCGATGTCAAGATAAAAAACACGAAGTTGTATAAGCGCTATGGTCTGGAGGAAAAATCCGCAATTATGGAGCGTGAATTTTAGAAGAAGTGGGTGTGTGGAGGTACAGTCGAGCCTTTCGCATATCAAACTCACCTTTGCAAATTTAGAGCTTATAAGTCGAAAAGCACTGCAGAAATGTCGATTCGTATTTGACTTTCATCAATGAAGTTGTTTGTTACAGATAAATGATACATCTTTAGTATGAGTCAAACATCGATGTGGCTTTGTTGACTTACTGAGCGGATAAGAAACGACGGAGGCGAGAAGTACTATAAGCCTAGCGACTCTATTACCGAAGTTAGGTAAGAATTGCAAATATTTACTAAAAAGAATATATTGAAGTCACTGCCGGCGGGTTAAAGACACCGTCCACCCAAATTCTCGACTTCCATGTTTTTGTCGCTTCCGGTCTTTCTGAAGGCCGTGATTTCGAATATGAAGTCGGGAACCTCAAAAACCCCTATTTTGGAGAAAGCGGGACGGGTGGAAGTGCAGTTTGTAAGGCTGCGGCGCGGTTATCGCCCGGCGTATATCAGCGCCTCAGCCCCCAATTCTGATGGGTGGAGTGACCACCTTTGGATCACGTATCACGTACCTTCCAGAGCGGATTTCTCGCTCCGGAAGCAATCTTTTGCGGGGAAACTTGGGGTTGGCCGGTCTAGTGTGGGGCCCACAATAGTATGCCATCGAATCTCGTGGACCCTCACTTTGGTGGACGGTGCCTTTAAGTAATGTGAAATTTTGGTCTTGCCCATAAACCGTTTGAAGCTGAGATCCCGAAGTGATTGCAGACCATGCAGGAGGCGAGAAGTTCTAAATGCTGCCACAAATACGCTGGATTAGCAGAAGAAAAGACATCTTCTACACAGGAGCCGTACAACAGACGGGTCTAAGCAGTCTGTTTCAACCCAATGTAGGCGAAAGCCATCTATATATATTCGAAGCACGCGTCCGCTTCATTGGAATTTTACAAGCGCCGGCATTTTGCCAACCAGAGATTGAGAAGAATGATGAGACGCAGGCATGGTTCCTTAACATTATGATCTGTAGCTACGAAATGTTGCAAAGCGGACGCCCGCCATTCCAATCCCCGCCTGACTGACTTCCAATTTCGTTCTGTAATCATGTTGGCGTTCAAAGAGTAGGCCCCCAACTTGTCTGAACACCATTTCAAAACTTCCTCGTTTCAAAAATACTCACCATTCAGCTTGTTTAGATTCATTTCATTGAGGAAAGTGTTTGAAAAGTCTTTTCGCTTAGTAACTTATGGTCTATTCTGATAAAACTTTTGGATCGGCATTGAGTAAGTTTTTTCACTAGTTTATGAATAAAGTACACTTGTATCAAAATGTCTTCCAGTCTTACCGTGTTAGTTCATGCACTCAGCCTTAAAGTAAGTCATTGCTAGCTCTTTTCAAATGGGAATGTTGCTAGATGTCTGGACACCATTGCAGCTTTAGTATATAGCACTCTGCAACACTTCACAGCTTATCTTAGTCAAAAGGGTATAAAATGAAAAATGTCGCATTTGGACTTTAATAAGTAGACAAAAACGTTAAAGCTAACTATCACTGAAGACCGACAAAGTGGAGTGATAATAGCGTTATATAGATTGTTGAAGGTTTGGTACTTCAACGCAGCTAAAGTCTATTTTCATTGGACTTCGTCTTAGCTAGGTCTTTAACAACTTAGCTTAATCCTGTACTGTGTTCGTCTTCTTTACTGTTTTGTCGCTTTAGCCTTGAACTCGTTCTTTTTCAGTGGATAATAGGAGTGCGAATTTAAACGTTACATGAGAGCATGGAGACAGTGTTTGTTAGCAATAATATTTCCAATTTTCATTATCTGTAGATCTGACTGCACTTAGATGCCTGATGTGCCTGTTCTTCGGTATTGATGTATGCTAAGTGCATGTCCATGTCTTGATCAAACAGTCATCGCAAAGGAGCATGAGCGCTCCACGTTACTTCAAAAAAAGTCAGCCCCTCAAATGAAAGTTTATAATTGGGTTACATTTGTATCCAACTCAGAACAAAAGATTCTATGCATTTTTTGTCTCAAATTGAAACTCGGTACCGAACCACGACGCCCAGATCTCTTTGAAGTCAGCATCTGTGCAAACCTATGAATGTTATGACTGTTTTGGAAGAAATAGGATAATTATTGCAAATTGTATACACAAATAAATCAAGCCTTTCTTAGATTGACTGCAGGCACAATATCAAAACAGTAAATTGTTAGTGAGCGACTCTTGTACTTAGCATTTATTTAATCTAAATACGCAAGTTTAGATGACTGCAACATTTTCTCGCTGAATTATTGATCTTACAAGTTCGGCATTTTTTTCAAAACCGTGGGCGGCTTCCAAATTTTCGACGAAATGCAAAGCGTGATACGAATTTACACTCTACAAGGAAGCTTTGTTGCAAGGATTAAGAAAGGAATAGTACTGTTTTGCTGTAGATAAGAGAAAACGAGTACTTAATACCTTCGATTTGGGCGTGGTTGAGTGCACACATTTGCACCTCCCTCGTTGTTAATCTAGTTCGCGACCGGAGTTCCATAACTATGAAAAGTTTTTTTTTAATTTTCAGTTTTTTTTGCAAAATACTAGCGTCTAATGTGTTCTTCAGCAGACTTTCAAAACTCGTAAACCAAAGAAAGTACTTTTTGCAAGAGCACAGAGCAATAATGAATGATTCAAAAGTAACGAGCCATTGAGTGATAATGCATTTTTTCTCGAAAGCAAGCTAGTGGTTCAAAATGTGGCAAGCACTAAATAGTCTTCTTTTATGTGGAACGTCCAACAGGGGTATATCTGGCCATTAACTTTGCCGTAATTCTGGAATCGCAATGATGCAAACACAGTCTCCTCGATCAGTAACTTTAAATATTCCAGTGCAGTAATGCGTAGGGCCATAGGGTCATCTGTATCGCAAAGGGTGAAAAAACGTTACCAAACCCACGGCAGAACGGTACTCAGGCCTCAAGACAAAAATAGTGGTTTTACTATCAATTTCACGGTCAGGAGTTGGCCAGTCGGCATCTTTCTAGGCAAGCACCAAATAAGCTTTCTGCTTCATCTACGTCGTGCAGCTTAGCTCGGCTCCTCCTCATCGTCGGAAATCGTAGACCAGAAAGAAATTTGTTGGTGCACAATTCTGCCTATCGCACTCTTTCAAATTTTTCGCCTTTTAGATAGAAAGAGAAGAATTCGTCGCCAGTCTGAGCAGTCAGATAGAGCTTGGTTCCTTTAGACGGTGTATCACATAGACAAGCAATTTGCTTATAGTTGAGTGTAGAAGATGCCCGAAATAGTTTTTACTTCTTTGATTCGCCGCTCACAATTGTGAGGAACAACATGGTGTGCAGTGATAGACAAGTTACTGTACGAGTAGTATTTCCGATGCTATGCTTACACTACTGTCAAAACAAAAACAAATTGTACAAAAGTTGAGGTGCCCATTACTTTAGCGTCAGCTAACATTAGGTTGATTCATAATTAATGCACGTTTTCTATAATTTAATTTTGTGCCACGATAAGTCTCTTCCGAAACGATCTTTGCTCACATGATGAAGAGTACTGTAAACAGCAAATCTTTGGCTATACAGCACAGACTTTTGTATGACTGTAGCGACTGCAGAAAATATTTTCCAGCCTAGCCATGATTTCTCAATGGAAGCCTCCATTTTGAGAGAGCATAACTCTCTTATATGTAGTGGAATGGAGCACACTCTGCTTGTCGTGTATGTTCTACTGAGCAGTGACGCAAAACTTGGATTCTGCGAAAATTTTTCGAGAAGAAATATTGCGAAGAAGCCGAAAGTGCTCACTTTTTTCTATCATCTTTACTGGTCCAAAAGTTAAAGGTTACTCTACTGGATCAAAGCAGGGTCAAGCGTGTGATGCGACTGAACGGGAGGTCGTAAAGGGGGCACTGGCGGTGGGGGGGGGTCGCAAGAGAGGGTGGTCCGAGTTAAAAAGTGTGGAATGTAGGAAATAAGCTTCTCAGTCGCAAACATTCTCTACTCTTCAAAAAAAACAGCATCTTCTCCCTACAAAAAAGGTATCGCAGACGGGGATTGAACTTGCTAGCCACAAGTATGACCGAATATTCCAAAAACACTTTCAGAAGCTCATACACTAGGCATGTATGTGTGACAAGAATTTTTTCAATGTACTGGCCCAAAAATTCTGGTTCCGGAGCAACCCTGAAGTCTCACACTTTCGTCAAAAGCGCTCATCTCTACCATCGATGACTAACTAATTTTTAAACTTTTTTTGTTATGTCTTTCAAAGGCCCTTAATATTTACCTGCACTTCGGAGATGCTCTGCTACAGTTGTGCAAAATCTGGTTATGTTTCATAGCCTGTGGATTTTTAAAGTATATATGGCAACAATGAATGAAAGGAGGGTCCTATCTGGGTCGCATCTAAATTTTTTTGTCGCTATGGAGGCTTGTTGGCTGCAATCTTGCTGTAATACGAGGCCATCCTCCTACCTTCTGTCATAAAAATTTTAGGCTGTTTCATGACTTGTCCTGTGAGTTACAGAATTTTAAGCTTAAGAATCGCAGTTTTTGCTTTCTAGGATCGCATCGAAATTCGCGAGAGTCGCATCTAGATTTTTCGAGCTTACTGCTCTTCAATGGCTAAAACTTTTTCTTTTGATAGTCTGGGTACAATAATACACAGCCTAATCATTACAGCCTCTCAGTCTTAAAGGTACTGTCCTCATGTACGTTCTGGAAAGCGCTAAAACGGTTTTTTTTTCGCAGAAAAATCTGTGCAATAGATAGAAAGTAAGTATAAGCCTTAAAGATATCGTTTTTTTCTCCCTGCAAAAAATATCCCCGCATAGGGGGATAGAACACGGGACTGTCATTGAAGTCTAAAACGTTCTAATTTCCAGAACATAGTCTATGTCTTTCGGTACCACTGGACCATCAAAGGATTCTGCCGAACATTCATATACAGCAGAAAAGTTTATTAACCTTTACTAAAAAAGGAGTTATTATAAAATAGTCATTATATAATGACTATTTTGAGAGTCATTATTTATATGACTAAAGTGAATCGTTCCGTAATGCTGAATCTTTCCTGGTTGTTTTTCTATTTTATTTTTTATAGGTAGGGTACGGCTTAGGTACCATTCAAATCAAAATCGATGTTCTGCTTTGTCATATGATGTCCTTTCCATTCATATTTTCCCAAAGACAATAAGCATAGCCAATTTGTAAAATTTTACTGCTTATCCAGTCAACGTAGAATTATTTGTTTTTGAGTGGTGAAGCACTTGCATTATATCCCAATTTGTAAGTAGTTATCTTTCTCTGACCTATAATTTTGATTGAGGTCCATTGGCAGGCATCTTTTGAGACTGACATTATTTTATGCAGGCTACCGCAAAAGGAAGTGGAGGAGAGGGAGGGGTAGGTGGGGGGGGGGGGGGGTCGTACGAATGAAAGCTTTTAGGGGGCGGGTCGTAAATGAGGGTCGCGGATCGCATAGCACGCTTGACCCTGGTTCAAAGTTAGAGGCTTCATTCATACTTGCTCGTAATCCTAAAATGAAATGGACAGCAAGAACGAAAATTTGTCTATTACTAGTGATCTGAAGCCGTTTTTATCATTTTGCGATATGAGTAGCCTACACCATTCAATCGTGTCGTCTTATTCGAACCGCTCATTTTGTCATCATTTGCTGTGGGTGACCGTGACCGTGAGAGAGAGAGAGAGAGAGAGAGCTATACCCTTACGCTCCTCACCAGAAAAACAATTGGTAAGCTGTTTAGCTTAAGACCTTATCTGCGTCACAATAGATGAATCAAGTATAAGGTTTGGAGGAAGTGTTTGGCGTTTAGATCAATTGGTTGAAGAGTGATTGACTTGCTTTCAGGCCTCACACGGCAT